GGCGGATGCTCGTTACGCAGGTGCTCGTCACCCCGTTCCTTCGCCCGGTTCCTTGAGGACTTGCATCGACCCGTATGCTCCATTCTCGCTGTCTGGTCTGTAGATCCGTGGGTGATGCCTAAGCCTGTGGACGGTATGTCCAGCATCGTGCACGATTCCGGTCTTGGCAGTTGCATGAACTCCCATTCTGCAAGGCTGGCTTTGTTTCCACCCAATCAGGGTCCATAGCTGCCCACTAGAATTTGCCATGTGGCAGATTCCAGTGGGCGGTCACGTTATCCTCGTATACTCGGTTTTGCGGCACAGATCAACAAACTAGAAGTGAAGTCACACCCCACATTTTGTTTCACATCTTTTCTGCTTAAAAAAAATATACATATATACCATATAATAAGACCCGGGTATTACCGTATGTAGGATTTTCCGTTGAGGAGACCCCCCCCCCCTCCCTCCCCCCCATTTTTTCCCAGTGGTTATCATAACACCCTAGGGTGTTACATCCGGGAGAATACGGTATCGTTCTGCTGCGCTACTTTGCACACTCATACTCCTTGTTGGAGCAGCGAGGAGGGACAGAGCTTTTGTGCAGGGCCCACGATATCAGGGCAAAACATCCTGATTACCCTGATTTCAGGATGGTGTTTAAGTTTGCCCTGGAATTTCAGAATGACGCTGAAATTTACCCTGCGACGTCAGGATGATCCATGTGTTTTGCCCTGAAATTTCAGAATGGCAGTGAGGCATTCTTGTTGCTAGGGGGGCCGAAGCGAAACGTAAACTTCGGTGTCTGCCTTTGGTATGGGTTTTGGTTTGGGTTCGATATTTTAGGGGTTACCGGATTCGTATACGTCACGTAGGTATCGTACGAAAACCCGAACATGACGGGGATCAGGCTAGGCCGATTTGACGAAACCGAAGCTGTCTCGTTTCGCTTCCGAACCTTTCGATTCTGCTCTTCCCCAAACCTTGCCAACGGGAATTTTGCTTAGCAAGTTTGTGCTCACATTCAGTCATTTCGAAATCTCCTGTCTGATGGCCTCCCACCCTAATTGGGTTGGACTATATATTGCACTGCCTGCGTCAGCAGGTAATGCAATGAGTCAGCGCGGGCAAGATAAAAAATAAACCCCAGTCGGAGGCATGCCATCCGAGGGAGCGTCAACCCTGAAATTTTTGGGCTGAGGCTCCCGAATGGCATGCCGTAAGCCATGGGGTTTATTTTTTTCGCCCGCAGGCAGCGTGCTGACTCAGTCGGTAGCGCTACCGGGCGCTACCGACTCTAGAAAGTGAAATGTATTGCGTAGCAACCTTATACATTCGTTGGCTGTCGTGAGCAGTGAATTTCTCCCATCAATTTCGAAAGAAATCACTGTTCACTAATTTCCCGAAGAAATGAAAACAAGTGTTTCCAATCATCCATAATCGTCGAAAAGTACGGCGAATGGAACAATTGGACAATCGTTCTAGCACTAATGACGATAGAAAATGACACACGAACACGAAGGGCAACACAAGAGATATAACGGAACCACTGAAAGACACACATACGCGAATGGCCACAAAAGCAATCGTGTGCAAGAACCGTCGTACATGTTTTGAGGGGAATACAAAATGCATCCATGCAGCAACTGAGTTGATATGGTACGGAAGAGGCGAGCAAAGCTGCCCCACCGACGATCACAATCCCAATTGCACACACGAGGCACTCACCACCACATCCCCAAAACAAGCGCATTCAATTACACACACACTGGTACAAAAACAGATGGCAATGGTTGAGAATGTTTCAAGGCGAATACTAAATGCATCAATGCTGCAACTAAGATTGATATGGTACGGAAGAGGCTAGCAAAGCTGCCCCACCGACGATCACAACCCGAGTTGCATTCACGAGGCACTTAGCACCACACTCTGAAACACACACAACGCATATGCACATGTACGCATTCACACATGCAGGCTCATTCATACACAAAGACACACAACGCAAAAACATACAGCTACAGTTATAAGCATGCAAGGACAATGAATGAGGTTCAGCCTTGTATAAATCATCACTAGCCTATCCCCCATTCCCCCCCTCCCTCCCTCTCTCCCTCCCTCCCTCCCTCCCTCCCTCATTTCCCTCATCTCCGTTCTCCCCATCCCTTTTCTCCGCAAGAAATAGCGCGTGCAGCTTGAACTTCCTGTGCACAAAAGAAGAAACAGCAAATGCAACTCACACCCTGCGCAAACAATAACGGAAACAGAGAATACAACTTGCGTGGGTGCAGCTTCTTTGACGCACAAGAAACAAAAATCCGCTCGCATTCACTCTTGCCGCAACTCACCGACACTCGAATACATTCAACAGCTCTTACACACACTCACTGAAAACACACACAAATCCTCGCACTCACCCTTGGGCTCGCGCTCACTCGAACACCTCCACACACACATGCACACACAGTCGCATACACCCTCAAACTGAAGGCGCACTCACTCACACCCGCACTCACAGTTTCCCTCGCACTCACACCCACACTCATGCTTGCAATTGCTCTTGCGCTCACAAACGCACTCACGCTCGCATTCGCCCTCGCCATATCACACCCGCACTCACGTTCGCATTCGCCCTCGCACTCACATTCACGCTCACTCTCCCACTTGCTCTCGCACATGACATCGCACGCACCTTGTTCTCACCCCTGCAGTCGCTCTCGCACTCGCTCTTCACCTACAACTCTTGTTCGACATTCACAAAAGACGCACACAAACGCGTGCACTCATCGTCGTACTCAACATAGCACACAAACTCGAACGCACTTTCTCACCCCCTTTTGCACTCACCCGCACCCTTGCATTCAACCTCGCATCCACACACATACTCACTTTCCAACTCACCATCGTCCTTACACTCACTCTCACACTTTCTTTCACACCCACTCGTGCATCACGCTTGCACTTGCTCTCTCAATCACGTTCGCACTCGCCCTTGCGTTCACTACCGCGCTCACCTTCAAGTGCATGCACGCATCTCACTTTCGAACTGACATCCGCACTCGCACCAAGATTCACACCCACACCCACCCTCTCGCACCCTCTTGCCGTCACACACACACACACACACACGCACACACACACACACACACACACATACATACGGCCTAAGCGCAAGCGCCCACGGTGCCAACTCTCCAAGCACAAGCGGCTTAGGCGGCATTATCTCTCCCGCCTCTCCCTCCCACACGCTCTGTTGCTCCCTTGCCCCCCCTCTCTCCCCCTCTTTACAAAATAGTGCAACGAAAGAAGACCAATCGACAAACAGAAGCTACAAAAAATGTAAGAAAGTAAGCAATTATCAGAGGGGGAAAGGAGGAGAAAAACACAGGGATATGTAAGCGCACCTCAGAGTCACGGCGCCTAAGAAACCATCTCGCGCTTGCCCACCAACTCGCGCTCGTGCAGCTGTCGTCAGCGGCGACGGCGAGATGAGAGGGGGGGGGCGACGTCGGTGAGAGGGGAGGCGACGGCGGGATGTGAGGGGGAGGCGCCGGCGGTGAGAAGAGAGGAGACGACGTGATGCGAAGGGGGAGGCGACGACGGTGAGAAGAGAGGCGACGGCGGGATGTGAAGGGGGAGGCGATGGCGGGATGCGCGGGGGGAGGCGAGGCGGGATATGGAGGGGAGGCGACGGCAGGATGTAAGGGGGAGGCGACGGTGGGATTTGAAGGGGAGGCGACGACGGGATGTGAGGGAGAGGTGATGGCGGGATGGGAGGGGGAGGAGACAGCGGGACGCGAAGGAGAGGCGGTGGCAGGAAAGAGGGAGAGGCGACGTTGAACGAGAGGGAGAGGCGACGTTGAACGAGAGGGAGAGGCGACGACGGGATGGGAGGGAGGCGACTGTGGTGTGAGAGGAAGAGGCGATGGCAGGATAGAAGGGAGAGGCGATGGCGGGGTAGAAAGGGAGAGCCGACGGCGGGATGGCAGGAAGAGGCAAACGGCTGGGTGAGAGGGAGAGCTGATGGCGAGGTGGGTGGGAGAGGTGACGAGAGACAAGATGCGAGGTGGGAGGGGGAAGGGTTTGTTGAGTTGGGGTGGGAGACGAAGGGATTCGGCTGTCAAACTATATCTGTGCTAGTTGTGTTTAGGCTATAGTGGGGTAGCCTATATGGGGTACAACCCAATGTTAGGGTTAGTACTTGTACCCACAATTCATTCAATGCAATCATTCCTGCTTGCTATCTTGACATGGTTTCAGAGCAGTAGGTCCGTAGGACCGTTTTTTTTTTAATTTTATTTATTTTTTTTTTTTTCGGGCCCACCATACTTAGCAACCGATTCCGGTTACCACGTTACCCCACTAACCTGCGTCGCGCCGCCCACGCACGCCCTGCCTTGCCTTGCATCACACTTCCCGTGTACGCCCTTCCCCGCGTCACGCTGCCTCACGCATGCCCTGCCCTGCCCTGCGTCGCGCTGCCTCACGCACGCCCTGCCCTGCCCCGCGTCGCGCTGCCCAGCATACGCCCTGCCCTGCCCCGCGTCGCGCTGCCCCGCGCACGCCCTGCCTTGCGCGTCGCGCCCTAAGACAGCCACCTGTTGCAGTGTCTCTGGCTGACCCCTCAGGGGGCCCAGTTCTTGCACGGTCCACCACTGTGCTTCCGTGCCCGGCGGTTTTGTCTGGCTCACTCTCAGGTCTTCACCTCCCCTCGTTCTCTACGAACCCATCGAGCAACACATACCACCAGGATGCATAGATTGATACCTTTACCCCTGGAGGACAGCGTGTGGCGATCTGTACGTGCTCCCGGACTGGCAATCATCTGGCCACGTTCACACGTCGGCCAGGGTCGAGTCTTTTACACACTGACTACTGCGTCCCCTCAGGTAGCTGCTACTGGTCAGGTGTCTGCGTCAGGTCAGGTAGCCTCCCCTTGTTCGTGTCACTCCCTGTCACACCAGACTCTTCTCTGGCACCACCGCCTGGGTCACCCCTCCTTGCCACGTCTCCGTGGCATGCACCGTCGCCTCCTAGTGTCTGGTCTTCCCAGGTCTCTGCCTCCCCTTCCTGCCTCGCCTGCCCCGCCCTGCCTTCCTTGTGTCGAGGGGCGGCAGCACGCCGCTCCTCACTCCTCCTCGTTTCCCCCGACAGAGGCTCCTCTGCAGACCCTCCACCTGGACGTGTGGGGCCCAGCCCGCGTTCGTGGACAGGGCGGTGAGCGGTACTTTCTGCTGGTTGTCGACGACTACTCGCGTTACACCACGGTCTTCCCCTTGCGCACCAAGGGTGAGGTCCCCGCTGACCTGATCCCTTGGATCTGAGCAGTTCGCCTCCAGCTCCGCCAGAGGTTCCGGACGGACCTTCCTATCCTACATCTTCACTTTGACAGAAGTGGAGAGTTCACCTCCGACCTCTTGCGGGCCTTCTGTCGAAGGGAGGGCATCGAGTAGTCGTCACGCTTCCGAGCTCACCGCAGCAAAATGGGGTTGCTGAGCGCCGCATTGGATTAGTCATGGAGATCGCGCGTACCTCCTTGATCCATGCGGCGGCTCCCCATTTTCTGTGGCCGTTTGCGGTCCGGTACGCCACGCATCAGCTCAACCTCTGGCTCCGTGTCTCCTTGCCGGACACCTCGCCCACACTGCGTTGGACGGGAGAGGTTGGCGATGCGTCTCAGTTCCGTGTCTGGGCTGCTCGTACCCTTGTCCGCGATACGTCCGCAGACAAGCTCTCCTCCTGCACCATTCCATGTGTCTTCCTTGGCTTTGTCCCTGACGCGCCTGGCTGGCAGTTTTACCACCCCACCTCGCGCCGTGTCTTCCCCTCTCAGGACGTCACCTTTGACGAGTCGGTTCCTTTCTACCGTCTCTTCCCCTACCGCACTGCCCCTCTCCCTCCCCCGCCGCTTTTCCTAACTCTAGGTCCCCCTCCGGTAGACCCCCCTCCCCCCTCAGGGTCCTGCTCGATCAGGTGTGTCTCAGGTAGACCCACTCCCCTTGGCTGAGCCTTTGGAGGTCACTTCCGACACCTCTGGCCCAGCTGAGGGGGGTGACGTTGCTGCTGACGACGCGGCGGCCCTCCGCCACACACCACGCTTGGAAACCCCTCCGGGTTTTCCACCTCGACCGTCTTCGCCGCCTCTGCAGCCGGTTGCTGTCGACTCTGGTGCTGCTGGGGGTGGTGCTGCTAGGGGTGCTGCGTCTGGGGGTGCTGAGCCTGTGCGTGAGGTGCTGGGGGGTGCGGAGCCGAGGGGTGCCGAGCCTACGAGTGCGGAGCCTGGGGGAGCTGACCCGGAGGGTGCCAAGTCTGGGGGTGCTGAGTCTGCTGGCATTCCGTCGGGTCTCTTTTTACGACGCGGGCCTCTCTCACCACATCAGCTACGAGAGTGGCTTGCGTTGCGTTCCCGCCTGAGGTCGTGGAGGTACTGCTGCTCTAGGTGCTGCGGTTGGAGATGCTGGAGCTGCTCGTCGTGGAGTCGCTGGGGGTGCTGGTATTTCTGGTTCTGGAGGTGCTCGTACTGGAGGTGCCGGAGTGACCAGGACCGGTCGTACTACTGGCGCTGAGGGTCATGGAGGTGCTCGTACCGGAGGTACTGGAGCTGCCGGGGTCCGTGGTGCTGAAGGCACTAGAGCTGGATACCCGAGCGTTGGAGTTCGAGACCTTAGAGCTGGAGGTGCTGGCCCTCGAGGTGCTGGCCCAGGGGTTCTGAGTTTGTTGGTGCTGAGCCTAGTGGTGCTGAGTCTGCTGGAGGTTCTCCTTGTGCCGCGTCACAGCGGTCACCTCTCTCGCCACAGCAGCTGCGCGAGTGGCTTGCTTCGCGCACCCGCCTTCGGAGTCGCGCTGCTGGAGCTGGAGGTGCTGGTTCTGGGGGTGCTGCTGCTGGAGGTACTGGGGCTGGAGACCCTGGAGCTGGAGACCCTGGAGCTGGAGGTGCCGGTTCTGGGGGTGCTGCTGCTGGAGGTACTGGGGCTGGAGACCCTGGAGCTGGAGGTGCTGGTTCTGGGGGTGCTGCTGCTGGAGGTACTGGGGCTGGAGGCCCTGGAGCTGGTGCTGTCGACCCTGGAGTTGGAGACCCTGGAGCTGGAGGTGTCGGTTTTGGAAGTGCTGCTGCTGGAGGCACTAGAGTTGGAGGCCCTGGAGCTGGTGCTGTCGACCCTGGAGTTGGGAACCCTTGGGCTGGAGGTGCCGGTTCTGGGGGTGCTGCTGCTGGTGGCGCTGGAGCTGGAGGTGCTGGAGCTGGAGGCGCTGGAGCTGGAGGTTTTGGAGCTGCTGGAGGTGCTGGAGCTGGAGGTTCTGGAGCTGCTGGAGGCGCTGGAGCTACTGGTGCTGGTGGCACTGCACAACCGCAATTGTTCTTCGCTCCGCCGTCACCGTCGTCTCTGCCACCGCCTGACTCTGTGCTTCGCCAGGTTCTTAGCCTCCCGTCTTCTACTGGCCTCCCGTTACAGCCAGGCTCACCACTGCCTGCTCCTTCTCCTTACACTGAGCAGACCGACTCGCTTACAGAGCGTCGTGAGCCTGCGTCTCGTCCTGCCTCGCCTGTTCGCGCTGGTCGCACTGGTCGCCGTGTTCCTCGTTAGGGTCCGCCTCCTGTCCCCAGCACGCGCACTACGGCACTTCGTCCTTCCTCTGTTTCACAGCGTGTTCCCCTGCCGTCTCCTCCTGCGTCTTCTCTGCCTGACGTTCCGGACCCTGAGTCTGACCTGTTTCGTGCTGCTCACCCTAGTTTTACGCGTCTGTTAGCCACTTTTGTCACAGACCCGTCGTTTGAGTCTGTTGCTGCGTCTGCCTTAGTTGCTGAGCTTGTTGACTTTGCTACTGCTCGCCGTCTCAACTACGCTGCTAGTCTTGTTGCTGAGTCTGAGTCTGTCTGTCCTCCGTCCGTTGGGGGTGAGTGTGCTTTTGGCACGGACGTCCTTGAGGACAGGCAGGAGGACTTTGAGTGTCTTGCGGCTGCTGTACCTCATCTCGTGGCCATGCTGCTTGCACCTGAGGGAGACCCGGATGCACCAGATATCCCGACCCCGCGCTCTTACGCAGAGGCGATTACGGGTCCCTACTCCTCTTAGTGGCAGACAGCCATGGATGCAGAGATGGCATCCTGGAAGTCCACTGGCACTTACGTCGACACAGTTCCCCCTCCTGGGGCGAACATAGTCGATGGCATGTGGATTTTCAGGGTGAAGCGGCTGCCGGGTTCTCCGCCTGTCTTCAAGGCTCGTTACGTCGCACGAGGCTTCAGATTGTCGGCGACAGGGAGTTGACTTCTTCAAGACCTTCTCCCCTACCCCGAAGATGACCACTCTTCGGGTGCTGCTGCACGTTGCCGCTCAGCGTGACTACGAGCTTCACTCCCTTGACTTCAGCACAGCGTTCTTACAGGGCAGCCTGCACGAGGAGATCTGGCTGCGCCGCCCACCTGGCTTGACTGGGCCGTTTCCTGCAGGTACCTAGCGGAGCCTCCGGCATCCAGTCTACGGTCTCCACCAGGCACCTCGTGAGTGGCACGACACATTGAGGACGACACTTGCGGCTCTTGGGTTTGCTCCTTCGACTGCTGACCCGTCGCTATTTCTTAGCACCGACACTTCGCTGCCGCCGTTCTACATCATCGTGTACGTTCACGACTTGGTCTTTGCCACTGCTGACAATGAGGCACTGGCCCTTGTGAAGTCGGAGCTGCAGAAGTGACCTCGGTGAGCTGCGCATCTGCTTGGCTTCCTGATCACCTGAGACAGAGCACGGCGCACCATCACCCTGACTCGGTCACACATGGTGCAGCACGTCCTTCAGCGCTTCGGCTTCACTTGGTCCTCGCCACAGTCCACTCCTATGGCTACCGGTCACTCGCTCTCAGCTCCACATTCGGACGAGTCCGTAGAGCCGAGTGGCCCGTATCCAGAGCTTGTGGGCTGCCTCATGTACCTGATGACCTGCACTCGACCTGACCTTGCCTACCCCCTTTGCATCCTGGCTCGCTATGTTGCGCCTGGGAGACACAGGCGAGAGCATTGGGAGGCTGCTAAAGGGGTGTTGCGCTACTTGTGCAGTACATCGGGCATGTGGCTCGTGCTTGGAGGACGGGGTGAGGTTGTCCTCACTGGACACTCAGACGTGTCTTGGGTTGACGACCTGGCTACGCAGCGGTCGTCACAGGGTTACACTTTCAGCCTTGGCTGCGGCTCTGTTTCTTGGCGGTCTACCCGCTCGTCTTCTGTTCTCAGCTCTAGTTGTGAGGCTGAGATCTACGCCACAGCCATGGCTGCACAGGAGTTACACTGGCTCACCTACCTGCTGACCGACTTGGGAGAGAGGCCTCGTTCTCCTCCGAATCTGTACGTCGACAACAAGGCCGCCATTGCCTTGTGTCAGGAGCACATACTGGAGCACAGAACGAAGCACATCGCCCTGCGTTACTTCCTGGCTCGAGAGTTGCAGCAGCGTGGTCAGCTTCGTCTTGCTCACGTGGCCATTCGAGCCAACACTGCTGATATATTCACCAAGGCACTTCCGTCTGGTGATCATCAACGCTTCTGTACTATGTTAGGCCTTGTGCCTGTTTCGTCTCACTTGCTCACTTCGTGACTTTGCTTGTACTGTGATCTATATATATACCTGCATGCTTGTCTTGCTAGGTAGTGATCACTGTACTGTTGTTGTTGCATATATACCTCTGCATGTGAACTGACCTTGTGGCCCTTTGCTTGTGCTCGGAGTGTGTGGTGACGTTGTGATCCACCCTGAGCTTCCTTTGCTTTTCCTGACTGGTCTTGTGACCCCTTGTTCTCCCCCACTTTGCCTGTGGGGGTGTGTCAAACTATATCTGTGCTAGTTGTGTTTGGCTATAGTGGGGTAGCACATATGGGGTACAACCCAATGTTAGGGTTAGTACTTGTACCCACAATTCATTCAATGCAATCATATCTGCTTGCTATCTTAACAACAAGGCCTAAAGCATGATAGAAACGCTGATGATCACCAGCCTGAAGTGCCTTGTTGAATATATCAGCAGTGTTGGCCCGGATGGCCACGTAAGCAAGACGAAGCTGACCACGCTTGCTTGAGCAAGGAAGCAACACAGCAATGTGCTTCGTTTTGTGCTCCAGTCTGTGCTCCTGACACAAGGCAATAGCGGCCTTGTTGTCTACATACAGAACTGGAGGAGAACTAGGCCGCTCTCCCAAGTCGGTCAGCAGGTAGGTGAGCCAGCATAAATTCTGTGCAGCGTAGATCTCAGCCTCACAACTGGAGCTTATAACAGAAGACGAGTGGGTAGACCACCAAGAAACAGAGCCGGAGCAAAGGTTGAACGTGTAACCCGGTCACGACCACTGCGTAGCCAGGTCGTCAACCCAAGACGCGTCTGTGCGTCTAGTGAGAACAACGCGACCCCGTCCTCCACGTACGAGCCCCATGCCTGATGTACTGCACAAGTAGCGCAACACCCTCTTAGTGCTCTCGCCGGTGTCTCCCTGGCGCAACGTAGCATGCCAGGATGCTAAGAGGGTACGCAAGGTCAGGTCGAGTGCAGGTCATCAGGTACATGAGGCAGCCCACAAGCTCTGGATATGGGCCACTCGGCTCTACGGACTTGTCCGAAGGTGGAGCTGAAAGCGAGTGACCGGTAGGCAGAGGAGTGGACTGTGGCGAGGAGAACTGGAAGCCGAAGCGCTGAAGGACTTGGGGCACTATGTGTGACTGTGTCAGGGTGATGGTGTGTCGTGCTCTGTCCCGGGTGATCAGGAAGCCAAGATAGCTGCGCAGCTCACCCAGGTCTGTGCACGTGTGTCTCTTCTGCAGCTCCAACTTCACAAGGGCGAGTGCCTCAGTGTCAGCAATGGCAAAAACCAAGTCGTCGACGTACACGAGGATGTAGAACAGCGGCAGCGAAGTGTCGGTGCGCAGAAACAGCGACGGGTCAGCAGCGAAGTGTTGGTAGTGACCATCTCATCCTAAAGGGCAGCAATACTCACCAAGTTCGTTGCGAACGAGGGGAGGTGAAGACCAGACAGTGAGCGAGACGGAACCGCGGGACACGAGAGAACAGTGGAGGAACGTGCAAGTGCCGGGCCCCCTGAGGAGTCGGCCAGAGAGACTGCAACAGGTGCAGGGAGTGGTGTGACTGTAATACTGTCGCGTAAGAAGCAGCGGGAAGCACCTGAGTCAAGCGTGAAGGTGTGCAAGGCCTCAGCAGGCGCAGTACCAGAGAGAGCAGACTCACTAGCACCTAAAGCAGCAGCCTCTATACCTGGGTCGGGCGATACACACAGGTAACAGTCACCCTTAGCACTAACAGTCAAAGCATACATGCCAGCAAGGATAGCATCATAGTCAAGAGCAAATATATCCACATTGTTCCTAAGCAGGTCTAGCGAGCGGGGGAGTTCAGCCTCGTCGTCAAACTCTGCGCGCAAGGCTTCGTCAAGATGAGAGAAGCAGCGGTTCTGCGGATGACCAACCTTCCCGCATGTCTGACAAGCCCAATTACATGTGCGAAATACGTACGGGCAGCGAACAGTACCCCCAGTTGCCCCACGCTGAGCAAACCACTCACGAAGCTGCTGGGGCGTAAGGGTCTCGTGTGGACGCTGCTGCTGCTGCCGTTGGCCACCACCAGAACCTCCCTTCTAAACGGCTCCACCCCGACCGCCACCACTCTTACTGCTGCCACCACCGCCACCACCACTTCCACCTCTACCACCACCGCTGCCACCGAAGCCTCCACTCCCACCACCACTCCCACCACCACCACCGCCACTTCCACCGCCTCCACCGCCTCCACCACCGCCTCCACCGCTGCCACCCCCCACCACCTTGCCCCCCTTGCCCTTGCCGCTGCGGCGCCTCCCACTAGGAGCAGACGCAACCCGACCTCCTCAGCACCAAGGAAGTCAACAGCAGCAGCAAAAGCGATAAAGGGGGCAAGTGGGGAGGGGGAACACCCCTCAAAGAAGGGAGTGCGAGGAGTGCCACGAGAAGCACCTACAGCGAGTATGCTAGCCTCAGCTACAAGGAGGTGCTTCTCGAGCAGGTCAACAGAGAGGTCTGTGGGGTCAAGGGCGAGGAGGAGGTCCCTGACTGTGTGAAGAGAGTCAGGGAGGCGGGTGACGAGGAAGTAGAGAGTGATGTAAATGGGGGGGGGGGAGGGGGTGGGGGGTCTTGTCGAGAAACGCGGTCTTAAGCGCGGCGCGGTAGCGAGTGTCGCTAGCACGAAGGTGGGTGATGGGGTCGGCGGACGTGGGAAAGGTTGACAGCTCAGGAAAAAGGTAGGACACTATAAGTCAGCCAAGAGCAGCAATGGCAGGGGAGGAGTAACGAGCAACTATAGCGTCGAACAGTGCTTTAGCAGTCTTGTGCTGGCCAAAGTGCGCGCGTTCGGCTAACGGCAGGTGGTTGCGAACGGCGAGGCGAGCAGTAGCGTCACGGGTAAGCCACTGTGAGCGAGTCGCACTGTCAGCTGTCTCGGGAGAAGCGAGAGAGGTCCTAGACGTGTGGTCAAACAAGGAGACGCCGTCCCTAGACTCGCTCTGTAGGTACAGCTGTAAGTCGTCTAGCCAGGTCTCAAACTGGACAGAACAGCCCTCGGAATCGAAGGTGAGAACATTGAGAGAAGCCATAGTGGGCAGAGCAGGGTGGCGCGCGACCAGCAGGGCAGCACGCATGCAAGGCAGGGCGGCACGCGGGCAGCGGGACAGCTCGACGGGCAGGGCGGCGCGCGGGCACTAGGGGAGCGCGCAAGGCAGGGCGGGGCGGCGCACGGCCAGGGAAGGGCGGCGCGCGGCCAGAGCAGGGCGGCGCGCTGCCAGCGGGGCGGTGCGCGGGCAGGGGAGGGCGGCGCGACGCGTAGGGGAGGGCAGCGCCCGGGCAGCAGGGCGGTGCGCGGGCAGGGCAGCGCAGCGCGAAAGTGCGCATGGTGGCGCGTGGGCAGGGAGGGTAGCGCGCGGGCCCAAGGGCGGCGCGACGTGTAGGGGAGGGCGACGCGCGGCCAGCAGGACGGCGCGGCGGGCAGCAGGACGGCGCGGCGGGCAGCAGGGCGCGCGCGGTCAGCAGGCCGGCGCGAACGGTCAGCAGGACGAAGCGGCAGCCAGCAGGGCGGCGGGCGGGCAGGGCAGGGCAGCGCGACTGGTGGGGTAGCGCTATGGGCAGGGAACTATTTGGTGGGGCCTAAAAAAAAAAACGGTCCTGGAATAGGACCTGCTCTGAAACCATGTCAGAAGACTGATGCATTGAAATCAGATCTGTGTACAGATACTAACCCTAATTGGGTTGTACCTCTTATCAGCTACCCCACTACAGCCTACACAACAAAAGCATCATAGTATTTTGATTGCTTAAAGGGTGAAGCATACGTTAATCTCGCAGAAGTTTGTGGGTTCAAATGATACGTACTTCTTGTTCTCTACCCGATGTCTATTGTACCTCCAAGCCTGAGAACAACAACTAATGCCACTGCGATTTTACTAGGATCCTGTTCAGTCAGTGTTGCAAATATACTACTATGCTTATTTGTGAGCGTGCTTATTACAACACATTGCTGAAGCCTTAGTCGTGTATCTTAACTTGATCTCATATTCTAATGCTGGCACCCCAGCACAATCCTGAAATCAGTGAAATAAGGAAAAATTGGTTTGTTGAAATAGGGCCTGACCTACAAACAGGGCCCAAAATATCAGGGTAAAACACCCTGATTACCCTGGGGGCCGGCCGTTTTTTCAGGATTACCCTGCCGAAATTAGGAATGGCCTAAAGTTACCCTTCTCTCAAAAAAGCAAGGTTTTTTTTACCCTGATTGGTTTTCCAGTTAGCCTGACGGAATCAGGGTTGGGTGTAGATTACCCTTTTACCGAGTTTCCCTTAGCGCGAATCTGACCACAGTCCGCGTGGTGACGAAATGTACAACACCCCCACAAACACCTGTTGTCGCTTCTGTACACGCGTAGCGAAACTTGCTTCGCTGTCAGAAACGCGCCAAGTTGGCCCATGTGTCGTTACTACCGTAGGACTGCCAGGTCATTCTCGAAACTTGCCACCCACAGCCATGCCCACCGCCACCACAGCAGAATTCGCTGTCAAGGACAGCTTCAAGCTGTCCTTGACTGCAAATTGCAGCGGCAGTCCTGCCTTCCTAGCCACGCTCTCCCTGCCGCATGCAATGAACGGCCCCCGCGAGTCAGTCAGAGGCTAGTCCTCTACGAGGGGGTCTGTCTCTTGGCCTTCATTCTCAACCAGTTTCAATTTTCCAGCTCCAAAATGCCCGCTGAAGAGCCCGATCCACCACATGGCGCGAGGAACGGACTCTCGGTGCTGGGCGTTCTACCACGCCTTAGCGAGAACTACGCCGTGCCCATCGCTCAGCCGCCGCCTCGCGAGCCGTCACCAGAAGTAGTGGTAGGAACGGTTTATCCGTTCGAGCCTCCTGGCTCGCCCACGGCGTGGGAGCCACATCCAGACATTGAATTAGTTCCCGGCGGCAGCGAGGGCTCGTCCAAGCCGCCCACTGCTTCGCCGTCTACTGTCAGCACCGCGCCCGTGAAGCGACCGCGTGTGGGAACAACGTACAAGCAGCAGACGCTCTGGGGCGCCCCTCCTCCCCGAAACGCTACTCCCCACAAGCGCTCTGCTCCTTCTGCCGATCCGAAGCCCCCCACCGCTCTGGCGGATGCTGAGTATGAGTTGGTCAAGAAGACCTTTGAGGGTCAGTGGGCAGGTAGCTTCAAGTGGTTGCGTTTACTGCGCATGTCTAACGGCCGTCCGTCTCTGCAGTGTGCTATTTGTGTGAAGCATGGAGACGCACTAGCGCACACCGCTTACGGGCCGAGGGATGAGGGAGCGCGGAATCTCTAGATTGGCAGCATCCGCACTCACACCTCATCCCGTGCACACAAGCAGGCGCTGGAGAACCAAGAGAAGGCGGAGGCGGAGAAGGCGAAGCAGGCTCCTATCACTTGCTGGCAGGCAACGGACGCATCCACTCGTCACATCATTCGGCTCCTCCACATCGCGAATTTTGTATGTAAGGCCGACGCCCCCATAGCGATGTTCGTCCCGCTGTGTTGGTTTCTGGCGAAGGAGGGGTTACCAGACCTTCCTCCCGCCCGCCGGCGGCTACGGCGCGTACTACACTGAGTAAGTGGTGTGCTGCTGTGGTAAAACCAGATGTGTTTTTGAATCCATCTGCGCATGTCTGACCACCGCTATTGTCCCTTGGCAGTTACGGCTTCAAAGAGAACCTGCGCGCAATGTCGACATACCTCCAAGAGAGACAGCGACATCACCTGCTCGACTCCCCGTGGATAGGCATTCAGCTCGACGAGAGCAAGGACCGTGTGAACGGGAAACATCTCATTCTCTACGCCACGTTTTTCCAGCACACCACGGTGGTCACGGAGTTCCTGACTCTCATCACTCTTGAACGTTGTGACGGTGCCTCACTCACATCTGCTGTCGTGCAGTACCTGACAGGTATCGGGGTCGACCTCATGAAGATATCCAGCGTCGCCACCGATGGTGCCAGCGTGATGGTCGGCAAGAAACGGGGAGTGGTGACACGCCTTCGTATGCGCATCCCGCATCTGGCCTCCACCCATTGTATTGCTCATAGGTAAGCGTCATCGGATTCTGTTCTGTGCTGCAGGTATACCATATATCGTGGTTGACTAACCTTCAGTTGTTGTGATATTCTGTTCAGGGAGGCACTCGCTGCCAGTGATGCTGCTGAAGAGGTACCTGACCTGCTGATGATAGACGATGTCGTGCGCGCCTTCGCTGACCACATCGGCCGCAGCAGCGTGGACTACTCGAAGTTCCAGGAGATGCAGCGGGTTTTCTGCCAGACAAATCTCGAGGCGCTGGGGATTAGCGACACACGCTGGCTCGCCCGCGGTGAAGCGATACAGCGCCTGCTCGACGTGCTACCTGCGGCCATAGTGGTCCTGAAGGACTACAAGGCGGAGCTCTACGAGGTGGTAACATCGTTCAAGTTCCACTTTCTCATCCGCTTTCTAGCGGATGTGCTGTGGGAATTGAACAGCCTTAACCTCCGATTCCAGCAGAGCCAGGTACGCGTGTTGGTTGGTGGCTTGTGGAGTCGGCTGCAAGCTTGAAAACTAACGATCTGGTTTAAATCCCGATGTGCAGGTGGACATCACCCTTGTTGCGCACATCGTGCAGCAGACAAGGCTTCGTCTGAAGACGCGGTATTCCCTCCGCGACCCTACACATCATTTCGGCAGCGGGGAGAAGATGCAGCTTCCCGAGTTCATCAAGAGTCACGGGAAAACGGACAAGCGCGAGATGAAGGCGGAGGGCGTAGACGGGGACGGGAATCCCATGACGTTTGAGTTCAAGCTGCATGAGCTCCCGCTACCTGGACATGAGACCGGAGGCGATGTTACGGCGTGCGTCGAGTTGGCGATCAAGTACGTGCGCGCCATTGACAAGGAGCTGGAGTGGCGGATGCGAGACCTGGAGCTTCTGGAAGGCTCGAAGCTTTTCCGCACAGCCTCGTACATGACCGACGACACGAAGCGGGTGGAACCTTCAAGAAGTGGCTCGGGCAGCTGCACAAGCTGTACCACCACAAGCTGCCTGGTAAGCCTGCTGTTGCGCTCTCCCCGCTGTATCATGCTTGTTGTCGCTCCTATGCCTGCCTTGCGGTTGACCATTGCACATCCTGCATACTGTGGCTTGTTGGACTAATGCCCCCCACCCCTACCCGGGTCTCCAAGCATCGGCTTAGCTTTCCCCCGCAATCCGCCCCACCACAGGGTTCGACTACAAGAGAGCCCAGCAGGAGCTGTGGATGTTTACATCCACAATGTTCGCCCAGCACAACAACGAGGAATTCCACCAGGCGCTGACGAACATGCTGCGGGATGATGCATGGCGCGTCTCGTTCACCAACATCATGCGGATGTGGCAGTCAGTGGCCGTGCTGCCATTGAGCACGGTCGAATGCGAGCGTGGCTTCTCGAAGCAGAATCTGATCAAGACGTGGGGCCGTGGCAGCCTGGGCGACACAAGCCTGGAGCATCTCATGCGTTGATCTTTGCTACGCTACGATGTCGACTGGTTTGAGGTGGTCGCCATCCTTTCGTGGAGAGAAGCTGAGGCGATCCACCAGGGAGTTCGACCCCACCAGAGCTTCACAGACTCAGTTTGTAGAAGATGTAGGCAGTGGTGGTGGCAATGAGTAGATGTGTAGTTTATGTGAGTATTTCAGCAAGTTAATGGACTTTGTGTGTATTACTTTCTTTCGGATGTTAGTAGAATTGTATCTCACTAAACTTTAACCAAAACAGGGTTGGCAAAAAACTACCCTGCTCAAATCAGCCTAGTGGCTTAGTTACCCTGCTGAAATCAGGCTACGGGAAAAAGTTACCCTAGGGGTCTGTTCAAGGAGGGGCTGGTACCCTGATTTGTAAGAGTAGGCCTAAACCAATTTTGGGCCCTGCCTACAAAGTGTGCGTTGATAATGAGGTGCATCCGCTATGACGGCAGTCAATCTGGCGATGCAATTTATCATTCAAGATGATCGCATCGACCAAGAGGGTGACGACTCGCGTTCAATCTACAATGGTTTCTTTTACGCATTACCCTATCATGTGAAATTGGAACTCGCAATAATTGTTTGAAATATGTAGCTACTGTAAAGCTCTGCAACATATTATTTCATTGTACTCCATGGAGGCTCAAATTCAGACTAGGGCGAAGCTGAACTTATAATGGATCAGCTGCACATCCTCATGACGACCAGGGGGGCACGGGAATGCAATTGTTCCGCCTGACACGCGACTGCTTCCCTGAGAATGGTCGCCCTCTGAGCTCTGGTGCGAGTTCCGAATCGCGAGTGGAAGCCGTCACGTTCCACCGCCTTCTACTACTGGACCACGTGGCGCCTTATTCTCATAAGCGTCATGCCGACGGCGCTTCCCCGCTCAATCGACGTACCAGCCACGTCCCCACCTCCGTGCCGCTGCTTCACCGCGCCTGCCGTCCAGTCCCACTCCACTGCCGTGCATGGTCCCTCTGCTGATTACCCACCCGTCCGCGATCCCCCTCCGCGCCACTTCTCCGCGTGGTCCAAGCGCCGCCTCTCCGCGGCCCCCACCGCCGCTCCAGACGTGCTGTCGCACGGCGGCCCCGCGCCAGGCGAGAGTGGTCGCGGCCCGTCATCGCACGCGAGCAACGTCGCGCGATCGCTGGCGACGAATGCGCGGCGCCTGCAGAGGCAGCTCCGGCGACTGGCTGTTCGGCATGGCAGGTGACCGGACGGCGAGGGGGACGGGGGACGGGGGGAGGGGGGAGGGGGGAGGGGGGAAGGAGGAAGGGGGAGGGAGGAAGGGGAAGCGGGGAAGTATTAGTGAAGTGACGAGGGGCTAGACATTAGAGCGGGATGAGTGGACGGGCGGGTGAAGGAAAAGCGGATGCGTATTTGGGATGGGAGAGGGAAGGCAGAGGGTGGTGCGTGAACGGCGGTGAGATGGCATTGTGGGTTCTCCCGGGCGCCCCTTTGGAGTGCAATGCCTGTGCACCACTCCCACCTTCTATCTCTCTCTTCCCTCCCGACTGCATCCCCCCCGCTGCTGCGCGCATGTGCCGCTGTGTCACATCCTTCATGCCCCTCGCCCGTGTGCTCCACTGTGTGTCGTGCGTGCGTGGCATGCGGGCAGGCACTTGCACCTGGGGGTGGCAGTGGTGCACGTGCCGTCGGGGCAGGCAGCCATTGTGCGGGCGGCACAGCAGTTCCCGTTGGCGAGTGTGGCGAAGCTGCCTCTGCTCTTCGCAGCAGCGCACGCCCTCCACTGCCCCTGCCCCTGCCACTCCACGCACCACCACCACGCCCCTCCTGCGCCCTTCGCCTCGTGCAGCAGTGGCAGCAGCAACGAATGGCCGCCATGTAAGGTCCGCATAAGCCACTATCCCCGCCCACCACACGCTCCTCCCCCTGCCTGCCCCTTCCAGCGCCCCTCCGTCCTCTCTCTCACTCCCCACCTCATGGCTCCTAGGTACCGTTCCCCTTGGCCCCACTGCACGCGTCGCTCCCACCACCACGGCGCTGCAGCGTGCCCCTCATGCCGTGCGTGACCACCCCACCCGTGGCCATGGGCAGTGCGGCGGCTGTCGCTGAAGAGCATGCTGCAGGTGCGCGAGGAGGACAAGTGCATTGGCAGTGGCCTCATGCGCTCCCTGCCCAGGTGCGCGCTGCTGCCCCCCCCTCCTCTTTCGCGCCCTCCTCATTGCATCTGGCCACGTGCATGGGGCGAGTGGCCTCCATGGCTCACGCAAGTGCTGCTACCGCACACTCACACCCTGTCACGCCTGCCATCCGCTGCACCTCCTCAATCTACTCAACGCACGTCGCTCACCCACTCGCCCTAGCACCCTTGTGTGCACCCCTTTCTCATCCGCACCTTCCCAATGCTCCCCTCCTCCAGCTGATCCTTCCCTACCACCACCATGCGCACTACTGCATGTGTATGTGTGAGCGCGCGCGCGCGCGTGTGTGTGTGTGTGTGTGTGTGTGTGTGTGTGTGTGTGTGCGTGTGTGTGTGTGTGCGCGTGCACAAACGTGTGTGCATGTGGTGGTGCAGTGGCATGGCAGTGGCGGTGCAGCAGTGTCTGTGGCTCATGAATTGCATCTCCGATAACACCGCTGCCGACCTTGTCAGTGCCCCCCGCCCCCCCTTCTCTCATGCCATGCCACTGCACGTGGTAGTGTAGGAGAGCAAGGGCTGCTCACCATGCCACTGCGGAAGGGCGGCCTCCGGGGAGGCACGTGGGTTGGGGCAGCACAAGGGCATGGGTCGGGATAGGAGCAAGGAGAATGGCGACGGTGTGTGTCATGCGAGTGGGTTGCTCATTTTGGTGTGCAGGGATGAAGTGCGGTGTGGCACGCTCATACTGGTTTGGTAGAGGTAATGCTGCTTGCATCCACTCTTGTGAAACAGCCATGGAGGTGGAGGGCAGAGGGAGAGGCGATGAATGCGGGCAGTGTGCAGTGATGGATGGAAGGCGATTGCTTGTGTAAGGCGCACCGTTGAACACTCAAGGTGCGCATGGCCTTGTGGTGCACTCCAGCACGCGCTCTGCCAACCCTGTCCCACCCCCCCGTGCTGTGCGCTTGGCGTGGCCGTGCACGGAGCAGGTGTTCAAGGCGGTGGGGTGGCCGTGTGTCTCAGGGCTGCTGCAAGCACATGGCGCGCACAACACATCCGTGCACCTCACACAGCGACAGGTGTGTGCATGTGCGAGCGTGCATGTCATATGGTCTCTCAGCACCAACAATGCCCTGCCACCATGCCAACCACCTCACCCTACCCTCTCAACCGCATTCCTCTCCGCCTCGCACTCTCTACCTCTCCAACTGCGCACTGCGCACGCCCACTCACATGCAAGTGCATATTCTCCCCACTCCCTGCACGCACATTCTTCTCCGTGTGCCGCACACCCGTGCCCCCCGCCCTGACTGCACGACCAGGCGTTTCTGCTGGCGCTGGGCTTCTCATCGGAGCTGAGGGAGCCGTACGGCACACCCAGGGCGCGCAGGTGCTGCATGCACGTGCTCTCCTGCCATGCTTCTCCCATCCCTTCTCCTTCCTACCTCATCACTGCACTCGCACCGCCATCTTCCCCGCTTGCCTTGCAAGTATTGTGCACTCGTATTGTCTACCACTCCCTGCCGCCTCGTCCCTTATGTTGCTCATGCATTTCCTTTCGTTTCTCCCTACACGCGTACCCCTATCTGTGAAAGCCACTGCACCATGACTGGGAGAGCATGCAGGTATTTAATCTCTTAGTTCCCCCTCCCCCAAATCTCCTCATTTCCTTGCTCGCAACAACTCCCCTGGTCACACTTCCTGTGCACCACCTTTCTCCTCTGCTAGTCTTTGCCGCACTCATCTCGGCTCTCCCCTGGTGCGTGTGGGTGGCCCCTCACCCTCGGCCCGGCAGCTGGCAGGGCATGTCAGTGGCGCAGCAGCGGCGCGTGGCGGAGCGTGTGGAGGGGGAGAGCCGTGCAGTGAGCGTGCGGGACCTCAGCGCTGTGGAGGAGGCCTCGCTGCTGCTGCAGCGCGTATGCCATGGGGCATGGGGCATGGGGCATGGGGCATGGGGCATGGGGCATGGGGCATGGGGCATGGGGCATGGGGCATGGGGCATGGCGCATGAGGCATGGCGCATGGGGCAGGGGGCAGGGGGTAGGGGGCATGGCATGGGGCATGGCATGGGGCATGGGGAATGGGGGGATGCAGCAAGGCGATGGGGTCAGGGATGGAGGACAGGGCATTGGAGATGGCGAATGGGCTTTTTGGGAAGACATGAGGTGTGGCGAGACAAGTCCGCAGGGATGAATGGATGTTTCAGTGGTGTGAAGGCGTGGCTAAGTTGTCCTCGTTGTTGTTCACACCATGTTAGCATTTGCTTCGTGCGTTCTGTGGTCTGTCTTCACCCCTCGTGTCTTGCACTCCATGTCCAGTAGTCGTTGCGTTGCGTCCATGCACATGTCATGATGCTCTCCCCCAGGCACAAGGCGACAAGGGCTACCGCAACGACACCCACAGTGAGTGCCCCCGTGCCTTCATCATCCACCACTGTTTTTGAACTGCCACCCACCACGCCTTACCAGGAATGCCTCACTGTCCGCCCCTCACTTTTGTTGCTTCTGACTTTTGGGAATTGTTCGACGCACCCCTCTGGTCGCAGCTGCGGTGTGCCATTCCTCCCATGTCATCTCCCATGCCACCTTCACCTCATCTCCTCTCTGCCTGCCAGTCAATCTTCTACTGTAAGCAACGCCCTTGTGTTTCCCTTGCCCCCCGCCTCGATGCATCTCCTCCTGCGTTCCCGTTCACCCTCCCCCCCCATGCCCCACCCGCCAGTCGCAGCAGCGATGGACAACCGGGGGTCGCCTGCGGACATGGCAGGGCTGCTGTGCAAGCTCACCACGGCGCGCCTGCTGCCATGCCCGCGAGCCACTGCGCTGTGCCTGCACACCATGGCCATGCAGGTGCCACCTTCTCTCCAACCCTGCACCTGCATGCGCTCTGTGTCTCCTTGCTGCCGCTGCTTCTGTCACCTCGTCTCTCCATCCATGTCTCGTTCCTCCCTTGCACCTTCTACATCTCCTCATTCCCTCCTTCGCTTCACATTTCCCTACCTTCCTCTCCGTGTTCATCTCTCCCTCCCGTCCTCCTTGTCTCCTGCACGTTCCATCCCTTCGTCTCTCCTTCCTCCTGCCGTGCCTGCACCCCTCGCTGCTCGCCGTGCAGGTGTATGGGCAGCGCCGCCTGCCCTACTACCTGCCCCCTGCCACGACAGTGCTGCACAAGACAGGCAGGTCAGTGGGGGCCACGATACAAGCACAACCACACAAGCTGACATCAAGCACCACTCCCTCGGGCGCATCCTGAGCCGCGGGATTACCCACATTCATGCCTTTCCCAGCTTTGTTCTCGTTGTTGTGTTGCTCTTATTCCATCACCTTGGCTCCTTCAATGCCTTACTCACAGTCCTTGC